GGATTTCGTTACCAAAAGTGAGGAGAAAGCAACACTACATCTGCTCTCGCCCCTCTCACCCTTGGGGTGATAGTTGTGCTTAGGGCTGCGTGCTGGTTCGCGGGCTGTTGATGAAGCTGTCTGGGCGGCTCGCGCGGTTCCGCAGGCTTCCCAGGGGCCGTTGCAGCCTCGCAGGGGCCGTTTCAGCCTCACTGGGACTGTCTCAGCCTCACTGTGTTCAGAAAGGTCTCTCACGACTTGTTCACGCTTTACTCAGAAAGGATATGGAGATAGGTAACGGCTTTTTAAAATAATGTGTCCTCTTATGTTTAAAATGAGGATTTCGTTACCAAAAGTGAGGAGAAAGCAACACTACAGCTGCTCTCGCCCCTCTTGCCCTTCGGGTGATAGTTGTGCTTGGGGCTGCATGCTGGTTCGTGGGCCGTCGACGAAGCCATCTGGGCGGCTCGAGCGGTTCCGCTGGCTTCCTAGGGGCCGTCACAGCCTCGCAGGGGCCGTCTCAGCCTCACTGGGACCGTCTCAGCCTCACTGGGACCGTTTCAGCCTCACAGGGACCGTCTGAGCCTCGCAGGGGGCACCGCAGCCTCACAGGGGGCGCCGCATCCCACGTTGGGGGTGAAGGTGCGAGTCAGAAGCTCCTCTCGCTGTCCCTCCTGCTGGAAGTTTCTGAGAGCCGTCTGCACGTGCTGGACATCATACTTTAACTGGTCAACACGAAGTTTGGCATTCTGTCTTTTGTTGGGAGGCTCCTTGCTGGACAAAATCTCCAGGTTTTCTAGCTGGCTGAATATCTGGTATGCTTGCTTTGGTTTCGTTTTCTACTAAGTGCACAGACTGCTTGTCTGCCATCTCCCAGTGTCCCATGTGAGACTGGATCTGGTGGACCTGCTTGTGCGTTTGCTGGTACAGCAATTCCATGTCACCGGCCCAGCTGGGTCCGGCTCCGGCTTCCTCCGAACCTGAGTCTGCTTCTTGAGTGTGTCCCTTATGCGTGCGAGGAGTTGAAATCTGCAGTTTGTTGGATTAGGCTGCAAAAGCGCAGGTGGTTCATTTTGTGCCACTGGCACAGGTTGGGCGGGGATGTAAATTGAGTGGGGCGGGATCTCAAGGAATCACCAGGGCAGAGCAAGCAGCAATGGCGTCTCTGCGACTCCTCGCCTCTCTGTGACTCTGCGTCCCCAAGTGCCGGCGAGCAGCTCCGAGAGAGAGCCACCCTTGCTTTCCGACCCACTGCAAGGCCGTCCCACCTCTCCCCATAGGGGTCTGGGGCCTCAGAATCCTGCCCCAAACAAGCTCAGTGGATTCGAGAGTTTATAACCCCTTCCAATTGAAAAAAACCATGCATGCAGTTGCAGCCCGCCTGGCGCGAGACTCCGTACCTCTGTTCTTGGCGTCTCAATGCACTTCTTTCTTTCCTTCCAGTTGTAGAACTTCCACTGGGCCAGCTTTCCCATGGTTCTGAATGATAGCTGTTTGTCTTATAGTTGCTAGTTTCAATGTTGTTGTGGGAGGCAGCACGCACAGGTCTATACCTTATGCTGCCATCTTGGTTCTGCAACATTTACATTTTAAAAGATGTCCCACATAAGAGTTCTTTTTTTTCTTTTTTTTTTATTGCTAAAAGTATTACAAAGGGTATTACATATGTGTCCTTTTTCCCCCCTCCCCCCCGCCCTTGACAATCCCCTGGCCTCCCTTACCCCCCAGTGTCTTATGTCCATTGGTTATGCTTATATGCATGCATACCCGAAACTGAGTCTGCTTCTTGAGTGTGTCCCTTATGGGTGCGAGGAGTTGAAATCTGCAGTTTGTTGGATTAGGCTGCAAAAGCACAGGTGTTCCTTTTGTGCCACTGGCACAGGTTGGGCGGGGATGTAAATTGAGTAGGGCGGGATCTCAAGGAATCACCAGGGCAGAGCAAGTAGCAATGGCGTCTCTGTGACTCCTTGCCTCTCTGTGACTCTGCGTCCCCAAGTGCCGGCAAGCAGCTCTGCGAGAGAGCCACCCTTGCTTTCCAACCCACTGCAAGGCCGTCCCACCTCTCCCCATAGGGGTCTGGGGCCTCAGAATCCTGCCCCAAACAAGCTCAGTGGATTCGAGAGTTTATAACCCCTTCTGATTGAAAAAAACCATGCATGCAGTTGCAGCCCGCCTGGCTCGAGACTCCGTACCTCTGTTCTTGGCGTCTCAATGCACTTCTTTCTTTCCTTCCAGTTGTAGAACTTCCACTGGGCCAGCTTTCCCATGGTTCTGAATGATAGCTGTTTGTCTAATAGTTGGTAGTTTCAGTGTTGTTGTGGGAGGCAGCACGCACAGGTCTATACCTTATGCTGCCATCTTGGTTCTGCAACATTTACATTTTAAAAGATGTCCCACATAAGAGTTCTTTTTTTTCTTTTTTTTTTATTGCTAAAAGTATTACAAAGGGTATTACATATGTGTCCTTTTTCCCCCCTCCCCCCCGCCCTTGACAATCCCCTGGCCTCCCTTACCCCCCAGTGTCTTATGTCCATTGGTTATGCTTATATGCATGCATAC